AGATCCAGGCCGAGCTACAAAATAAAGGACTACGTTTTACTTTGATTTATCTTTCCTTATTTACGATCATTATTATTATTACCATCAATAAAGTTTTCATAGCATCCGTATGAAAAGACAAAGATGATGATGGATGGACATCGAAAGAAGAAACCTCGAGTTGAGAATTTGACTAACCCTCTAAGAGGAGAAAAAGTGACAATGACAACATATAATTTAGTAAGTAAAGTCAGGAAAAATAAAAAGTAATTTTGCGATAAATTTGGTTTACGATAATTTCAAGGCCTACCTAGGAACTTCCCTTTTCTGAAATAACCTAAGTGTGATGATGTCAATGGAATCAGAGTTAAAAATTCTGTTCACCTGTGCAGAAATCGAATATGGCGTTTAATAAGAAAAAATAAAGTTGATGCTGGAGGACAAGAAAGGAAAGATCATAATGAAATTCTAATTATGCCATCTTGAAAAGGAGAAACAGTGGTAATGTTAATGTGCATTTTATTTTGAAATCCCACTACAAATAAAGTCATGAAAAAATTAAAAAGGTTTTGGAAAAATTCGGTTTTTACCGTCTTACTCCGGTAGCATCTTGAATTTCGAAACCTTCTAAGCAGCATCTTACCATTTCCGAGATCCCAATGGCGAGGGTCGAATTTGAAGCACCCTGTATAGGGATCAAATTTCTCTTATTCTGGTATTATGTTCAATAACATGATCCACGGTTTCGTATACAGATCAACTTTTATCCTGCAAACATGAAGCTCTCATACGCATACGGACTCGGCGCAGTCAGAAGCTTCCATTCTTCCAATAAACTCATGCTTTCAATCATCTCTGTATTTCAGCCCTGTCATCAATCTAACAGCCCTCCTCTGCAGCCCAAACACTCTAGCTGCTCCAGCAGAGTGGCCCCATACAATAATTGCATATACTATGTGCGACTGGAGTAGTTCGAAGAAGCAAATACGAAACATATTTGGTGATACTTCTCGCAATAAGCTGCAGGGAGGCATGAAATTTCAGAGAAACATTTATAGATACTCGTGCAATATCAATGTGGCTTTTCTATTGAAGCTTAGGATCAGGTGTCATACCTACAAATACAACTTGATCTTCATTTTAGATATTTATTTCTTTCTTAGAGAACACAACTTGCTGAATCTTTTCACCACTTAGCAACAATTTGTGGCTTTTTTTAATTCAGCTGTTGTGCCTGCATCAGAGGGTTAGCTGCAAGAGTTATTGATATTTCACCTGCAAAGAGGATATATTTGGGCATTATCCCATATGTTTGGGAGATCATTAATATGGAATTGAAAGGGTATGGGGCTTATGGCAGAACCTTCTGGCACCTCTACTGATATCTTCCTCTTTGCAGACCTGACACCATCAATCTGTACTGTTTGACAAATCTCTTGCAGATAGGACTATGTCAATACAATTATATTGAGGAAAAAGTTATCAGAAGAATGTTTTTACGGAACAGAACAGAAACTGGACTGCTTTGTTTGAAAAGCCTCCACCACACTTGACAGCAGATCAAAGATTGCGTCAGTCGTTTTTCTGTTCGCTCTAAAACCATACTGCTTTTCAGAAATGATTCCATTTGTCACAAAGAGTTCTATAAGAGAGATACTGGACTGTAATGACCTTAGAATGTAGGATCATCTTTTTGGAAAATTGTTTCTACAAGAGCTGGCTTAAGCCAATCTAAAAATATTTTGTTTTTTAAATTAAATGTAATGACGTTAGTTAATGGTAATAGGATTATGGGTTTTATTGTGTGTATTAAGTTTACGTACAGGCCATTAACCTAGTACTTACTTCTTTGGTCATTTTATTAGCAAATTTTCTAGAACAATCTTATTTTTAATACCATACAGCTTGCCATGAATGAATGAACGTGCCATGGAGCTGCCTACCATTCAGGCATGCAATTACAGGGTGGACCGTAATAAAGCTCACTTTATTTTTTTTAAATGAAACTGGAAAGCGAAAGCGGGTGGTATCGTTCGGCTGGATGACATCTTGATGGACAATAGTGGGCATATCCGCAATAAAGGAACAGGAGCAGAAATCTAAGGATTGTTAACCCGAGCGACCTACGTTCCTGCTTATTCTATTCATCAGGCCCAAATGTATGTAATCTAAAACACTGAAGTGAAAACATATGCTCATCACATCTGGATACGGGTGTAACCAGAGGAAAATGATGAATGGAAAGAAAAACACAACTAGAGCCCACCAACAAGAGCTAGCAGGCATATTTATGGATTCGGTCAGAAGACCTTAATCATGGTGTCAAAAATACATAAAGAATGGCCTCTCATATTACAAAACTCAGTATAAAGTGCCTCAAAAGTGAATTTTATTATCATATGTACCTGTGGACCACTATCTTTAGGTGTGAACGTTGCCACCTCTGGGATTGTTACCGCAAGTAACCAGGAATTCCAGTGTCTTCAACATGCTACCGCGGGTTCGCGAGTGTATGTAGATCATTCTGGGGTGCATAGATTTGTTCACCTTGCCCAATGTGCTAGGGATTCAGGTCAGCGCAGTTGGTGCAAACTGAGGAAGGATTATTCAATTTTGTAGAAAAAGATACTTCGACAAGCAAGGGAAGTGGCTAGAGAAGTACAAGTCTTCAAGACTTCTTCATTTACCTTTTTCGCTACTCTTGAAAACTTCCCACCACGGATTCATCGAAAACCACTAATTAAAAGAAAAAAAATGCCGAGACGCGTCAAAAGATTTGTCAAGGGAGACTTTTTAAACAAAAACTGCTTACCCTCGGCCGCCCAGGGTAGTTGCCTTAAAAATTTAAAATGACAAGGGGTATCGGGTAATAACTTGTTTAAAAAGTCTTTTAAAGTCCTTCATTTTGACGTTTGTTTTTTCATAATTTTAGAAAAATCTTTATTTACCTCAATTTGTTCGGATGGAAAAAAACACACATGAAAATCAATCAAAATGTTGCCCGTTAGTATTTGCAAAATCTACAATTCGTTTATAATTTAAAACGGGAACGACCAACATAAACAGCAATTCGGAAGATTAGACCTGGCAACAACCAAATAAAAACCCGATTTTTTCCGCATTCTTTTCATCAATACAGATAACCTGGGCGAACTATATTTATTGTTATACCTGTTTAGTTACTTGTTGCTAAGGAAAAGCACCTTTGTGACAATCTTGGGACAGTGAAAATTAATTTATTGATTCAGATTTTACTTCCAAAATGGTTTACACACTAGCCGAAAGAGTGGAAATGATTCTAATTTAGGGTGCTCAAAATCAATGTGCTCGGCAAACTGCCGCCATGTTTAACGCCAGGTATGTTTTGGACCTTGTTAGTAAATTTATTCAAACTGGATCTGTTGCAAATAAAAAACGTGATCATCGGAGGTTTTGGGTCAATTTGGAATAAATCCCAATACTCCATTATGCAAAATTGTTGCTGCGACTGGTATTTTATTAGACTCTGTACACACAGTTACTAAACTCCATAAATTTTATCCAATCAAAATGAAAATATTGCAAGACTTAACCGAAGATGACACATTTTATCTAAATGGATTTGTTAATAAGCATAACTGCATGAATCGGAGCAATGAAAAACTTCATGCTTTTGTAGAAAGGCATACCCAGTACCCCCAAAAAATTAATGTATGGACAGGAATTTTAGGAAACAAATGTTGGAAAATACTATCAATCCGCTTATCACTGAAACAATTGGAAATCAAATAGAAGATAATGGAAACCCTATACTTGATCAGTCTTTAATATATTTCCAACAAGACAGTGCTCCTCCTAACTATGTTCTTCCGGTTCGGCAATGGCTAGACGACGAGTTTCCAAATAAATAGATAGGGTGAAGAGGGCCTACAGAATGGCGTGCTAGATCTCCTGATTTGACGCCATTAGTCTTTTTTCTATGGGGCTATTTGAAATCTATTGTGTTTGCCCCCCAACTTGGAAGTTTGGATAAACTTCATCAACGCATCATCGAGAGCTGCCCTGATATCCCATGTTTTTGAAAATGTTCGACAAAGTTGAACATCGCCTAGAACATTGTTTGACCAACAACGGAAAGTGATATTTTCGTGGGTTTTTGTTTTTTATCTGAACAAATAAATAAAGATTTTTCTAATTTTCTTGAAAACGAATCTACCAATTTTAAAAAATCAAACGTCAAAATGAAGGACATCGAAAGACCTTTCAAACAAGCTCTTACTTGATACCCCTTGTCTCCCCTTGTAGCCTTGCCCCCTGGGGGGCAGAGGGTGAAAGGGGGTGAAGTAGTTTTTGGTTAAAAAGTTGCCCCACTTCATAAATGTTTTGATGTGTGTCGGCGTTTTTTCTTTTAATCGAAGTTTTCAAATGAACACCCTGTAGAAAAGCTAATTGAGCAAACTACATTTCTCAAATGGCATACAGCTTCTGGGCTCTCAGCGTAAACGTTCAACTATTTGGATGTCTACCCTCGTTCCTCGAACGTAACACCTTTATCGTCCTGCGAAATCAGAACCGGAGGAGAAATTTAAGCAGCTTTTATTCGTTTTGGGTTTTTACCCCGTCGCCCTAAAGTCTTTAGTGACAATTTTTTGTCTCGCTTTCTCTTTGTCGGCGTTACGACTACGGTGCAGGGTGCAGGAACTGGTGAGAATCCAATCGGATTGCAACAGTGTAAATATGGCTAGCTCAAACAAGACGACTTCAGATCCAAGTAAATTGAAGGAACGTCCTGTAAGTACAACGACGTGTAGCGGTCTTGGTACCTTGATACATCAGTTTCTGCTTTCACGAATGCTTAACTCAGTGGCGAATCTAGAAAAAAATGTTGGAGTCCATATCCCGCATTTGAAACAAAAAAGTGCTGGGGAGGGTAGGATGCCAGGATTTATGTTCATGAAGATATCTGATTCGGCGGATTCCAATTGATGAGCCGGAGGGCGGCTCGGTGATACAAAATTGAAAAACGCAAACTGAAAAACACGTCAGAATTTTTTTTGATACTCGGATATTTCAGGGGTATCCGGACCCCCTACACAGTCTCCTGGTTCCGCCCCTGGTTTTAATATGGAAAATAGCTTGAGTTTTATGAAATACGTCGAGTTTCCCTCGAGCTACAAAAATACTAGCATCATTAAAAATAAGTACTTCCAATAAGAAAACGGTTTAGTTGATAAAAGTGAGACAGAATCATCTATTAGGACTTTGATTCCTAAATCCTCGATGACACCGCAACATCTCGGGCTTATTATACCTTGCTCCTCGAATTTACAGAAGCCAATCCAGCAGTCCTGTGTTATGTACCAGTTGGTTCTACTCGTAGTTTTGGTTTCGCGAAGAGTGGATGTCTATTGTGATACAGCGTCTCGCACTCACATAAAGCATGTAAGGCTGGTTCTGTTCCTTTCCCACATTGTCTGCAATTGAGGTCGGCATCATATAGTCCTATTTTGCGCAGGTATTCTCTCCGGCCATTATGTACTGTAACTACACAGAGTTGATTTCAACTCGTTGAGAACAGTTGAGTAGCCGTATATGGACATGGTCCCGAGATAAATTCTTTCACATGCTTGCATTCAGTCACTAAATGCCAATACCCCTTATGCTGGTTTCTTACCCAGATGATGCGGTTAATGAGTCAGTGAGCATTTACATCCCTTGTCTTGTAGGTAGACCTTGGTGACAGCAATAAACATGTTTTCAACATGCAAGCACGCATTCATGACAACTGCATTACTTCTTGGTAACGATTTTTTTTCCACCTCAGCGTACGTGCATCCTTCACTATCACCACGCGGGACTTCGCAGTGACTGTGATCCCGTCGGAAAAATTCACTGTCTGGTTTGTTGCGATTTATTCTATTACTGTCCCTTCACGTTGGCGTGAAAGATGGAAAAGAAGAAAATGTTAGAAAACTCTCCATGAAACTTTGTCTTTCGGGAAAATAGGTTCCTGTATTTTTCCACACACTTGGACGCACTCATATTCCCGCATCGATTTGTGGGATCCAAACATTCACAATTGGTGGATTTTTGGTTTGGAAAGTACAGAATTGAGTCACTATTCAAAAACATCTCAAAAATTAAAATTATTCATTAGGCTATTAAACAATATATCCCCAAAAGGTCTAGGTTTTATAGCAAACGTAACTTCAGGCTCAGGTCTTCGTCCCACTTCAGACTAAAATAACCAAGCCACGGTATATTTTGCAAAATAAAACTATCAGCTCTCTATGTCTACAAATGTTTTTGGGATAAGTGTTGGATTGCCCCCTAGCTGCAAAACACGACAGTGTTCGCAAAAATCTAAATACAGGTGCTTTAATCATAAAAAAATATGTGAACTCGTGAAACCTTAACTATAGTGTCTACTATGCTTTTGTATTTCTAGCCCTTGTCATATAATATTGTTGTCTGAGTGCAGGCTTCAACTATCGACACAGTCTTCATCTCGCAAAAAAGAATCATTAGAAACATGTTGAATTTTCGTTCAAAGCGTCCTGTAGGGACAATTTCAAGAAATATCATCTTTGGCCGTTTACCCTCAATTTATTTGCTGAGACTACTAGCCAGACTCTTAAGTACTATCATGAGGGGCATCTAGCTTTTCCGAAAAAAATCTAAACATACGTTGCTAAGTAATATTTTAACACGAAGCGTAAGTGCTGGTGGCAACTGAAATCCGAGTCGAAGACGAGGATTTTTACACTATTTTTTAAATATTACTTTGCATTGTTTTTTCGATTTCTTTCATAGGAAAAAATAGATGCCCGAATGGTATTTGACAAGAATATTTCATCAGTAACAGATTATTCTTCCTACGCGTAGTTTAAAAAATTTATTGATAATAAAATCAGAAAAATTGTTTAGCGTCGTTTTCTGATATCCTAGGAGACCATAATATTACTTGCTATCAAAGGTATTTTAATTTTTGGTGACAACAGCTGTCAAGTTTTGCCGCGGGTAAACTTGACAAAACTGCTAACAGGTGCTGTCATATAATTTTTCCATCTAGAAACCATTTGTAATTCAAAACGGCACGTTTGTGATTGGTAGAAATTAAGACGAGTGAAATATCCATAAATATGTACTTTTCAGAAAAACTGGAACTTTCATAATTATAATATGGGGAATTAGAAAAAAAATCGCTCAGATAAGCATAACTCAACTACTCACGAAAAGTCGCCTAGATATGGTGGTACACGAATATACAATTATTTACCAGAATCGATTAAACAAATAGTTATGCTCTTTAAAAACCACCTTAGGAGTCTGCTCTTACATACACTTTATGTATTGTAGATGAGTGCCTTGTCTTTTTAGGCACCTGAAATAATATAATTGCCAGGAGAGGAGGTCCATTACTTGGTATTCGCATTTACGTTTTTCTGTTTTCAGTTTGACTTTTATTTCGCCTTTCTTTTTTAAAAATATTGTATGTTATACATAATATGACGTGTTCCTGTCTACACCTTTGTATATATAGTGTTCGCATCTAAAAAAGGAGTTTGAATAAAATGTCTGGGCTATAATCATTCATTTTTAGATAATATGGTGAATGTGCTTCTAAAATATAGAGTCTGAAATAAATTGACATAATATAATCGAAATGATTTAGTAACTACGAGGTAAAATCTTTCAGATCATCAAAGAGCACTTTTTTAATTTGTTACCAATCTCTATAACCAGATTTCGATTTTTTTAAAGCATCCTATGCTCTCTAACAGCCCATTCTGTCATTTTGCCGACAACAAAGACAAAATCAATCGATACGTGAAACTGTAATCTTCAATATTATGTAGTCTTTAGCTTAACCTATTACAATGTAAGTTTGGGCGCCACTTACGTAAGCTGCTACAAAATGCTGCATCTGAAGTTCAGCTTGTTTCCAATTTTCTCTTCTTTTTAGCTGTTTAGTTATCAGAAAACTAATATTCCAGGTGAACTAATAGATACAAATAGAAAGTAAGCTCTGTTTATTTATGTCCTGCAGAACTTTTCCAATCCCACTCCCTTCAACTCCAGATACGTACAAGAGTTGTTTCTTTAAAAGTTTTGAAGCTGAATGGACGTATCGATCTTATCAATACTATGTTCTGTCTCAGAGTTGGCTTGGTGCAGACTAAACTAATAAAGCTCAAGTAGTGTAACACTCGAAACAGAGGCTACGACTACTTTAAGAGGTTTTAAGAATGGGGACTTTTGGATACATCGGTACTTTGTTACAGTAGGACACGTACTAGAACTGATCACAGCGATATGATTGGTTTGCTGGACATTATTCAAACTTTTTCTTGTCTAATACAAAGATGTCACTTGCTGATCAGCTGTTTACCTCAGTAGACGTCAAAACGTAATGGATATTCCTGAAATAGGGTTGGTCATGATATGTTGTCAAATTGTAGGTTAGCTACGTTGTCAAGCAGAAGGTTATAGAAGTAGATATAGAAATAGTTTATTGATGCTAAATACATGAAAATGTTTGCATAAGTCAAGAAAAGATGCAATAAAGAATAATAGCACACTGTAAAAAATAGGAGACAAACAAAATAAAATCGCAATGAATGCACAAGTCGGTAAAGGGGACAATTAATAAAATAAAATTATGAAACTATTAAATAAAAGACAAACAATGCTGTATTCAGTTAGTTCTCAGTTTTGTTTGTATCTAAAATTGTCAATATGCTTCGCAAAGTTTGTAGATTTCTTCAACTTTCTAGAAAGTTACCTTCACTTGCTACTAGAGTATATAAGGAAGTGTGGAGTTTTAGATTGTGGTTAAATGAGTATTTTTTGGGGTTTTTGATAAAGTCGAGAAGTATTTCAATTGCTACAAGAAGAAGCCATTCGTGACAATACGTACGTTATAATTCGACTACATAATACAAGAAGTACGTGTATAACTAAAACCGATACTGATGCCTCTATTCATCAACGCTAACAAAATACGAACTTTCAAACAACATAGGTAACCAGGATTCAGCGGTTAGTCAACGTTCGAAGCGACAACTACAAACTTCATCGCACCCAATAATCCTGAAACTCTTGTCGGGGACCAGCAACACGATGGGATTTGGGAGTTGTATTCCAGGATTCGGAAGTTGCATCCGGCCATGGCTAATTAGCAGTCAGTGTGGAATTCGTAATTTAGTGACCGAGCTCCTGATCCGACAAGCAGGGGCGCTGTTGTCGTTGTTCCTGGTTATGGGGCTCGACATCCAGTTAACAGCACTTATCCCGCAACATTGATTAAACAAGTGTATGCTTTAAGCCCTTGTGTATGTATCTATTGTCTGTCAGTGTATCGGAGCATACCGAGACGGGATGAGTGTCAATGCCAGCGACGTTGAAGACTATCTAGAGGGATTATGAGCCAACTCAACTGAAGATTATTGAAGTAGGAAAGTAAGCCTCCATACTCAATCCAACGCTTCAATGAATCTTTGAAAAAATATTTTTTTAAAAACTGGATTAAATATTCTACGATGTGCTATTTTCTGCTAAAATAAAAACGTTTGCAGTACACACCTCAACTTCATTTCCTCAAGTGAGTGATTCGCTTTTCATACATCTATTCATTGAGCGCGAAAGTTACTAATTTGAAAATTCTTCCTGACTTAGAGCTACGAATATACCGCCTTTTCCAAATATCTAGAGTCACCACTTACCATTTAGGAGAACTTAACAACATGCATCCTACACGTAAGGTATAGTTCTCATCCTCCCATCCCGGTGCCAAGATTAGTCTCGATTTTTTAAGAAAACGCGCGGAAAGTCGATATTTTTTTTGGGTACATGATGTACATTCTCATTCCTTCAGCTCTTAAAACATGGGTTGAATTGAAAAAAGGCGCCAAATTTCAAAAGGCAAGCAGCGTAAAACCAAAAAAGGGTGAGGTCCTGAGTCTGCTGAAGAAAAATGCTGGAGCTCAGCAGTTTTAATCGTCATTCATGATAGCAAGAAAATGTTTGAAAATGTGAACGTTATCTTCAACTACAACAATTCAATGGATCCAGTCGCTGTCCAAAACAAGCGTCATTCTGCTGGTTCTGATTTACAGCAATACTAAAAACATTCAACACTAAAATTGTCGTACATAGAGTGGAACAAATGGAAATCCAATACCGCTAAGTCTGAAGAATAGGGTGCGGTTGCACAAGTTTCTAACAAAAGCTTTGCAGTCTTTTTGTGCCCTCGGCATCACCTACCACGAGACTCAATTTGTTCCGGATTAGGTAATGTTATGCTTGAGGAGTAGTTTACAACGGCGCTCTGCTTTTTTGATCCACTTGCACAATAAACTCGGAGAAGTACTATACTCTGTCCAGCAATTTTGTTATCGTAGCACAGGAGAAGCGGTCAGAATTATTAAGCAGAAGACTGCAATTATACTCCATGATAGTAACACGCGGAACATTTCCTTCAAGCCAGTAGGCACTTTTCTTTGAGTTATCATTTAATTCGCTAGTCGCTATAACATCTACTAGGTTTCTACCTTGCGCTTCTGCCCGCGGAACATGTAGGTGGGCCACTAAGGAATTAACGAATTTTCCAAACATGCAAGTTCACCGTATATTCACTAATACCATTAAATATCTGCACGGCTATTATGTAAAAACCTATAAAACGTCAAAAAAATGTCATATTGCACACTAGATAGTTTTTAGAGTGCAAATAGTTGATTCCACGTTTGCTCGCTATGATCGCTGTGAGCGCCCATTTATGGAGGAATGGCTCAACAACAAGTGTATGCTTTGTGAAGCCGAGTAGTCTGGTGTTAATCTCTGAGATGATGTGAAAGATAGAAAGTTGATTGAAAAGCAAGAGCGCATCTGGATGATTATATGTATTGGTCTCCATGTGTATAAAATTAGTGATACTATGTGAGAAAATTATTATTGAATATGCCGCCAATGAAATATACATATCTATCAGCTGTGCCCGACGGCTTACTTATATCGTGTCCTGTCTATAGACAGGTTATGTTCAAAGTCATAAATGGCATTACGGAGAATCGCCACCGCGACCTCGTTGTGTGCAATTAAGCAACATCCCAGAAAAATTAGCAATGACGCATCACACATCAAACATTTTCGCAATGCCTCACATCTAGGTGCTGATTTTTATTTTCTATTGACGTCGCAAAATAAATTTCTATTAAATTTAAATGACTGGGAATAAAAAATAATGTAATAACTCTTTCATTTTCATAAATATTCCTGTCTGTAGAATGAATAAGAAAAAGTGGATGGGCAACTTCTAGCTTTGAATCTCAGGTCAGTGTAATTGAGACAAGAAGCCAATGGAATTATCAACAACATATATTATTAGCACACAAATCCTCACTACATTCTAGCTATAGTATACAACTTACAGCTTAGACCTCCAATAATGCCATCTCTGAAGCAGATTATACATCACATCAGAGCCACTCATTGGTAACTGAAGCACCAAGACATTTAGGCAACACGTATAACTACAAAACGAGATACAACACGTGTCCATCAGGTAGTGCTTAGTTAACATCTTGATGAAAAACCTACATAATGTCACAAAAAGAACAATATAATGTCAAAAGAAATCGACATAATGTCACTTTCCAAGATACGTAATACCCGTACGGGAGTTCACAACAGAATTACTTAAAAACAATGTTTTCTATAAGTAACTGTTTCAAGCGGGTAAGAGCTGGTATAAAATGAAACGTATGTATCGCTTGACGGTCACAGGTACAGGGGCACGATGGCTGACCACACTGTTGCCAGCTTGACGCTGACGATAGAGACTTTGGTACTCGTCACGAAAGTTGATTGCAAACGTTACTTCGCAGATAAAACCATACCTATAAGATACAGGTTTTTAGGTCTATCCGTATTGTGGTCCAGACGTGATTCTGACAGACTGAATAGACAACCACATTTATATAGAGAAGATACCGAACCACACATCATTATAGTTTGCTGGATACCAGATAAATGTACCTTACCCGCTTAGCAACGTTAAAAATTATTTAACAAACAACTCAGTAAGTATCTACTCACAGTGTTATATGTTAAGTAGAGCAAAATACCAGACAAATCTAAGTTAAATTCTCTATTTATATAGAATTATTACCTTCGGTCGGACCAGCGACTGAGCGCTTGCGCGCCAGATACCTCATGACAAGTTCCATTAATTCGTTTCGATATTATTTCCCTGGATAATTCCTACACCAAATTCCATCCGGATACGCGCAACCATTTTGGTGTGATTGAGTAACAAACCTCTCTCTCATTTATAGTAATACTAGGAATTAGTGGGGATAAATGTTACTCTAGTCGCTTTAACGTCTATGTCCATATGGCAAATCATCCAAAACTAACCTGTACAATGGACTTGGTCTGCCTGCTAATATCGTCCGCTGCAGACCCCTGCTGCTGCGAGGAGGACCTTGGGCCCTTGATGCACGCCGGGAACATCCTTGGATGTCTCCTGACTGTCGTTATCCTCGGAACGGCGCCCCGGAGGGCCTGAAGGAGTTTCTCCTGCTGATGAGTATCCTGGCGCCGCAACCACCACTACATCGAATCACTGCTGTCACTTTCATTTTAGCGCAATTCGTTCACTACCTCACGTCTTTGGAATCGATTTCGTTAGAAATGTGATGAGAGTGCTCTTTGGGAAAAAGAGTGTCGTTGAATGGAGGTATCAGGATTTTATGTGCGGTGTGTTACGGTGAAATTTTCGCTTGAACCAAATGTACACCTTTCGTATTTTAGATTAGTAAGTAATAAGTAAGTAAGTAAGCTATACAAGGCGTTTTAGAAAAACGTTCCAATATTTCAAGAAGCAAAAATAAATAAAAAGGTTATCATTAGCATAGATACAAAAATGTCATAATACCAGGAGATTGTAGATGTTGATCTCACGTCACTGACGAGACTAAATAAGGACAAAACATGATCATTGTTCAAATAGCCCTATGATGATTTATTGTTAATCTCCTAATATTTTTCAATTTCAAACATTATATCAGCGTATTTTCAAAGTATAACGAACGGGTTGGAGCTTCTCATACCGTCCAAAAGGACTAGTCTGACAAACAAATTTCAGGTTAGGCAATTTATCTAAAATTTTGTACCTAATTAAAAAATACAATGCAACAAAGTCAGTGGCGTTCAAAATATTTTTTTACCTTCCCACGCCTAGAGATTATAATAATATATTTTGGATGTTATATGAAATATCGGTCCTGTGGCGGTGGCGGAGAAAAATGCTGAAAATGGAAAAAATGAAAATTGGTCAAACTTCGTTTTTTGACATTTCGGAATTTCTTGATGTTGCCGTCCCAATACACTACCCACTTCGGTAATCCTACATACCTATTAGACATATTTCACACATCATAGATTTCCGCGTAGATTTGGCCTTAAAACTTAGAAACGGATTTTCAGCAGAGGCATCCCTTACATATCGGTCGTACCTGCCCTGCATAACGGGGCTGTAAATATTGCATCTTTGCTAGTGGATCCCAGGGGCTCTTAAAACAGGTAGCCGATGGCCCAGTGACACGATATGCACATAAGAGGTGGGTGCGACATCTATATATACGACCATTATGCTTGGAGTATAATTTAATGAGCTTACTTGATTTCCCATTGCAATATTATATAGCATAGTACATATAGTATATATGTAAATATCAGGAGCTATTATAATCGGTTACCAAACACTGTTGACTGACAGTTCTACACCAGAACTCGAAAAAAATGGAACTTACCATTGCTGCAATCTGAAAATACTTTTTTTCCTGAAAAGCCTAAATAGTGCACTAACGGTTCTGACACCTACACCTTTTGGACGTCATTGCACTACATGGAAACTGGAAGTTTTTCGAAGGCGTGGGAAGTATAGAGTGAATCTACTTGACGCTATTTTTTTTCTGCATGTGTCAAAATTTCCCAGATTCTAAGCTACTGGTATAGTCTATGGCACAAAAAATTTTGTATGTATTAGTTATGATGCCATTACTACATTATGCAATATTTTAAGTCGATGTCTTAATCCAATTCGAAGGTACATTCCTTTCGATTTCAACATCCTGTGCGTCAGTATGTTTATATAAATGTCTGTGCTATTTTTTCGTCTAATTTACGCCTCAGAAATATTGCCAAGTTATTCTGAAACACCCTGTATACATACATTCTAGAGTGATTCAGAAAATAGTGCCAACATTTCTAGATTAAAAAGTGGGTACTTTGTCGCAACAATGTTGGCAACGTACGAGTACCTAGCAAGGGCCCAATTTGCGAGCCTTGTGAAGTTCTGCATCGAGACAAGCAGAGGATAAGTGTAAGCATTGATTAACATATTCAACCTAAAGATAGCCAACCTAGTGCTATATTCGCGTATCTAATATGTGACCCAACATAAAGTGAGATACCGTAGCGTCATCTGTGAGAATTTGTCACAGATGTTTCTCTATTTATCTGTACGAGGACGGTTCAATAAGTACCCGTGATTGACGACAGAGGGCGCTCCTGAGGAAAGTTAATGTTATCATCGTGTGCTGCCATCTATCAAACGAAGGCACAACAAATTTTAGACTGATTGATAGGTGAGTTTGGATTAGGCAGTCATTCGAGTAAGACGTGTTCCGTGATTTTCGATAAGATGGAAAAAGAGCAGTATCGTTCGGTAATTCGCTTTTTGTTTTTGGATGGGAAAAAATGCGAGGAGACAAAAGCAAAGTTGGATGCTGTATATGGGGACACTTCGCCATCTATGACCACAGTTAGATATTGGTTCAACGAATTTAAACGTTGGCGAACATCCGTTTTTGATGAGGACTGACCAGGACGCCCGGCAGACGAAAATCCACGACATGATTCTCACCGATCGAGGAACGAAAGTGTGCGAAGTAGCAGAGGCCGTAGGTGTGTCGACCGGAACGGCAATCAATATTTTACATGATAAGTTGGGCATGAAAAAATTGTCGGCCCGGTGGGTGCCGCGATTGCTCACGGTGATCAACAAGCGGATGCGGCTGTTAACATCAAAGCAGCGTTTGGAGCAATTTAAGCGAAATCCGAAGGAGTTTTTGCATCCAGTTGTCACCGTCGATGAAACCTGGATTCATCATTATACACCAGAAACTGAGCAACAATCAAAACAATGGATTTCTCCCGGTAAATCTGCTCCAAAGAAGGCGATGATGGTGCCATCGGCCGGAAAGGTCATGGTGACGATTTTTTGGGATGTGAACGGCGACATCCTCGTGGATTTTTTAGAAAAAGAAAGAACCATCACTAGACAATACTATAGCGAGTTATTGGACCGCTTCGACAAAAAATTGAAGAAGACACGGCCACATTTGACCGAAAAAGGTGTTGCTTCACCACGATAACGCACCAGCACATTCATCCGGAGTTGTCGCGGCCAAACTGCATGAATCGCGTTATGAAGTGCTGCCGCACTTCACCCGATCTGGCCCCCTGATACTTTTTCTTATTCCCTGACATGAAGAAATGGCTCGCAGGGAAAATTTAGCTCAAACGAGGAAGTCATCGCAGATACTGACGCATATTTTGGAGAATTCGACAAATCCTATTTTTTTGACGGGTTAATAAAATGGCGGGAACGGTAGGAAAAAGTCTATCTTTCTAGAAGAGGATTGTGTTGAAAAATAAAAAGAATTTTATTGGAAGAAATGGTGTCTTCATTTCTAACACGGGTACTTATTGAATCACTCTCGTATATACTTTGAGAGGATTAGCATCTCACCTATATGCTTGTTATGCTCATATAGGGAGCGTCATCTATGAGACAATAACCTTTTCAAAGTATATATAGTAAATAGAAAAACAGCTCACATACGAGTAGATGACGCTATGGTATCCCATTTTATCTCAAATTTTTTGTTTTGACGCGCGAATATAGATATACATTGGCTATCATCAAGAAGAATACGTTAATCAATGGTGTAAGGAAGTTCTTTCTAATTTTAATTTTTCTGTTGACTCGTATACGTCAACTGTCAGAGGCAATAAACAGATACGTTACACATGTTACGCATTAGGCATCGGGCACGTTGCTGTACGGCAAATAAGAACACCTCTCAATAAAGAGCAGGAGTTGTAATGCGAGTATATTTTTAGGCTTGTCAACAAACATAAAATGGCTTTTTTATAGCAGTCGTTCAGGACTTTTATAGACATCCGCGTCATAGAGTTAGTTACCCTCTCGGCGTTATGCAACTGTTATAACCAATAATTGGTTTGACATGTGGTAGGTATTAAGTTCAGTGTAACATGAAACATAACCACTCATTTGTTGGATTGGCACTTATTACGAGGGTCTTCTAAAAAATATGTTTTTTGCATCCTACGCTTGTGCGCTAAGTAAGCTGAAGCATTATTATGCGGAATTTTTTAAATGGCAACGTGTTTTAACAGTAAGTGAAAGTAATTCAAAACGGCACCATAAGGTACAACGGAACAGTCTTTTATTTTGAAACTACTAACTCCATCTGTCGGCTACCAGTCTGCTATTTCTCGCTTTAGGTCAGTGCTTCTGAAGCTGCTATGCGTCGGACCACAATTTTATCAAGGTAAGTAGTTTTTTTGATGTTTTGCTCTAAAAAACGGGAATTTCGTTTAGTTGTCATTGTTAGCTAGTCTTTCAAATTACTAAGTATGTTCATATTAATCACTGATAGATATTGTCCGTTTTGAGAATGAACATCCCCAGATCGGTGTAACCATAACCTCAAAATTATAGTTTGTTTTCATAACTAACCAAAATGCAAAACGGACCGGGCCAAATGGATTCTCAGCCTTCAACATTTGGGGATGCATTGCAGTCTTCTTTGACAACAACTGTATCAAAAATTCGTAAATGATAACGCGCAACCATCAGCGCTAACGGTAAACCACAGTCATCCTCATCTGAACAATCCTCAGCCATCAACGTCTAAAATTCAGCCAGAATTTCGTCCACATATGACAAGAAAAACGTCAGTCAATGATGATTGACATCAAATCACACTAAGAGAAGATCTTCCACCCCCAAGGGAGTCTAATGTAATGTAACGGCAATGATTCTTGATACTCATCCATCGTCATCAATAGATGAACCTCACCCGACTATATTGGAAAATTGTTCATTGTTCATTGTTAGTCCAAAAGACATTATGCCGTTTCCAAACACTTCAAAAACGAAGAGATCGAATGTTAAACGGGAAAATGCAGTCATAGTGACTTCATCCCTCTATCGTAAAGAGCTAGCCGAGGCAACACAAAACATTAAAGTGAATCAGATCAAAAGAAATGGATGATACAAAGGAATAATTTAAGAAAATTAAAAGGTAAGGGAAAAGAAAAAGATTCATTAGTTGAAGAAAATGAAGATGCACAGTTTTTTTATTGCTCGCAGAGTCCGACGAAGGCTGGATACAGTGTCAAATATGCAACTTGTGGGAGCACTGTAATTGCGCTGGTGTTGACGATGAAGACGAAGAGGCTAGATTCATTTGTGAAAGATGCGAATCTTAGTTCCATTTTGCCTGGAACGGCAGTCCGTTTTACCTGCACATGTAAGCAGAGCGGACTAAAACCAAATTATTGGTATCTTGTTTTTCGTATATTTTGTTTGAAGTCTAAACAATTTATTCGGTAGAATAAGAAATACTTTTTAGTTTTATGAAAGAGTTTCATGAATAAAACTGTTGATTTTGTAACTATGACTTTTTCCTTAAGTGTACCGCT